CCCCAGTGTTGTTTCAGTTTCTATCAATTTTGATTTCATTTTTGTCAAAAGACTTAGAAACTGAACACGGTAAGCTTGTAAACTGTAAACTGTCTATGACTAATGACGTTGGGTGCACATATAACAAGTATAGCTGATTTTTAATACTTTAAAGTTACACTGAGAGAGGTTTGCATGAATCGCGTGACAGATTTTCTACTTGTTATAAGAGTTATTAGTGAGTCACACGAAAATTAAAGTCACGGGAATAATTGTTTGAAAACATGGTTTGTGGAGTAATAATTTGCTTAACTTTTCCTTCTCTTCTATTTTTCAGAAGAAAAGGTCTTGTTGTAGACGCGTATTCAGTTTGGCTTCATTCTGGTCGACTCACCAATACCAGTGAGTATAAATCGAGATTTTAATCAATAGCTTTGATATTCTTTGTTAGACTTAAATCTTGAAGTAAACTGTTCACAGTCGATCTACTTTTTTAACGTAGAGAAAGAACCCAGGAGAATCTGTAACCGTAATGTTGACCGCAATCACTGACTACTTTTAACTCTTAAGTCATGAAGTTAAAGACTAGTCAAAACCAGTTGTAGTTAATGACGCTGTTATGACTAAAAACCAAGAGATGGCCGCGCGATTGGGAAGCCGTTTTAAAACTTCTTACTCACTTGTATCATGAGGGCTTTCAAGGTAGATGTTCAGTCACTTAGTGGGCCTGATATGCTGGTTTTCATCCCGCATCCCGCATGCCGCATCCCGCGCGTAAATTTAAAATTTATCCCGCATTTCCTGGTTGAAATGAGCACATTCTGCACAGCCTAAGATCTTTTTATCCAGTATTCCGTATTCCGCATTGCACATCTCGCCTGGATTTTCCACTTATCTCGCATTCCGCCAAGCTTATGTTTTGACACTCCAGAATCTTCGAAATACATCTTTCACGCACAACGCATTATGATAATCAGTGTCTCCTTGAAATATCTAAAAACCCTCAAGCGATTTTCGTAGTTTCACTTTTCAAAGCAAGTTCCGCCGTGGTAAGTACAGCTCTAGCTAACTTTGCATCGTCTGGTTTCTATCTTAACCAGTTAGAATAATAAATAGCTCCATCCCAATAACCACGAAATTTAGACAATCATAGAGCGCGATGAAAAATTGCAAGCTCCATAGTTTGCTTTTACATAGCAAAGTTTTTGAATCTGTCAGATCTGATGTCTGTTACCATAGCAAAACGAGAGTTTGAAATCGACGTCAAATCGCACAGAGTACATCATAAAGTCAAAACTGACTAAAAGTTAATTCACGGCATCCACATTTTACTACAGAACGATGGCAAAAGTAGCTTTCATTAGTTGTTTCGTCGAGGAATGTAAATTATATTAATCAGCCGACACAGAGTTTAATAAAAAACTAGAGTGGTTTCTAAGCTCTAGAGGTTTTAAAAGAGCAAACAAAGATGCCAAGATTTATATGGGAAGGTCCAGGATTGTGAAAAATCTTTCAACAGTGTAATTGTTAGATAACCGAAACGTTTCTAGTGGTTAACTTATAAGACAGAACTGAGTTAACACCTATTGTGTTTTATGCATGGGTAAGCCAAAGAACGAACAACAACAGACAACAATTGAAAGAACTTTGCCTAGCTAGAAATCCATTTTACTTAATATTAGCTATGTTAAAAAACCCAATATGCTCTGAAAGCTATTAGTCTTTACCGTCAGCATTCAACAAAGTATGTGGATAGAAAAATGTAACTTACTTTCGAATGTTTTTACTCGATTGTTTGGCTGAAGGTTTTAAACTTATTTTAATTTAATTTATTTTGACTTCTTATTGGACCTCCTATTGTCTTGTAGGGAAACTCCCTCAGAGCTGTTTCAGTTTCTATCACTTTGGGTTTCACTTTTAAGAGAAGACTGACAAACTGAACACGGTAAGTTTATCAACTGTAAGCTATTTGTGACTAGCAGCGTGCACATACACAAGACTGATCTAGAGTTTACATTGGGAGAGACGTCACGAATCGCGTAACTTATTTTCTTTCTGCTGTAAGCGTCAAAAGTGAGTCACGCGAAAAATTAAGTCACACAAATGATTGTTTGGAATCACCGTTTTTTAGTAGTAACAATTTGTTTAACTTTCCCTTTTTGCTTACTTTTCGGGGGAAAAGGTCCTGTTATTGACGCGTATTGGTTTTGGTTTGACTCTGGTGACTCATCAAAGCTAGTCAGTATAAATAATGATTTTAGCTTAGTCATAACATATTCATAGCAGACTGAAATAGTGATGTAACCTGTTCACGGTCAATATCCTTTCTCAACACAAAGTCAGAACCTGAGAGAATTTGTGACCGCAACGTCGACACTCATCACCAACTACTTTTAACTTTGACGTCATGTATTTGAAAACTAATCAAAACCAGTTATAAGTAGCGACGTTAGTGTGACCGAAACACTTTTGGCAAGCTGTTTTTAAAACTCCTTCCTTTTAACTCGTTTGTGTTTACAGACACACCAGAAAGCTAAATTAATTCCTCCAGTCATTAAGTAGCCATGACTTGCACTTTTCATCCCTCATCCCGCCCCTCGATATAAAATGTACCCCGCATTTCCTAGCTGAACGGAACACATGCTGCTCACGCTAAGATATGTTTATTCTGAATCCCGCTTTCCACATCCCGCCTGGATTTTCAGCTTATCTCTCATCCTGTCAAGCTGACGTTTTGACACTCCAGAAAGTTCGAAATACATCTTCCATCCATGACGTATTATGATAATCAATGTTTTCTCGAAATTTCTAGGAACCCTCAAGCGGTTTTCGTAGTTTCACTTTCCAAAGCAAGTTCCGACGTGGTAAGTACAGCTCTACCTAACTTTGCATCGTCTGGTTTCTCTCTTAACTAGTTAAAATAATATATAGCTGTATTATGATAGCCACGAAATTGAAACAATCATAAAGTGATGATCAAGTGCACGCTCTATTGTTTGCCAGTGAACAAAAAAGTTTGTGGCTTTGTCAGTTCTGATGTCTGCTGCCATCGAAAAACGAGAGTTTGAAATCAATCAAAGCGTACCAAGTACATTATAAAGTGAAAACTGAGGAAAAGTTAATTCACGGTCTTTTATATTTTACAACATTACGATGGTGAAAGTAGCTTTCATAAGCTGTTTTATTTCTCTTCAGAGCAAGTCAGTCTGTTCATGACAGGAACTAGCACGGAATATTAATTTTATTAATCAACAAGCACAGAGTTAAATGGTAAACTGGAGTAGTTTCTAAGCCCGAGAAACTTCAAAGAGCAAACAAAGATGCTAAGGTTTATGTTGAAAGGTCCAGGACTATGAACAATCTTTCGATTTGCGATCATACACAGTGCATTAATTACATAATTGAAACGTTCTATCGGTTATTCAATAAGACAGAACTGAGTTAACTCCTATTGTTTTTATGCACGGTTAAACCAAAGAGTGAATATCAACAGACAACAAAGAACTTTGTATAGCCTGTTAACCAGTTCACTAATTATTAGCTATGCTCAAAAACCCAATATACTGTAAAAGCTATTGCACTTTACCGTCTGTGCTTAGCAAGGAACGGGAATAGCAAAAATGTAACTTACCTTTAAATGTTTGCGCAACGTTTAAAACTCATTGCAATTTTAATTTGTTTTGACTTCCTATATATTGGACTTCCTATTGTCCTGCAGGGAAACCCCCCAGTGTTGTTTCAGTTTCTATCACTTTGGTTTCGTTTTCATCACAAGACTGAGAAACTGAACACGGTAAGTTTATGAACTGCAAGCTGTCCGTGACTGATACCGTTGGGTGCACACGTAATAAGTATAGCCGATTTAAATCAAATTTTTAGAAACGGATTTCACTAAAAAAGTTAATGTTAAAAAGCAACGACGTTTCGACCGTTCGACGGTCATTTTCAAGCTGAAAGAGTAAAATTTTACTTTTTAACTTGAAAATGACCGTCGAACGGTCGAAACGTCGTTGCTTTTTAACGTTAACTTCTTTTCGTGAAATAGCTGATTTAAGCAGAAAAATTAACGAAAGTAAAATTACATGACGTATCGACGACTTCATGTCATTATTGTCGAATGAATAAATTAAAAATAACGGTAAGGCATATTTATAGTACTTAGGATGTGAGAAAATGAAATTAGCAAACGTTACATGAAAACATTCATCTAAAAAGTTTCGCGCGAATGGAATCCGCTTGCGTGTTCAGTTTGCTTCTTTTGTTCTTAGTCAACAGCGTTTCAAAGATTAAACATTCGAGTTTGCTACGGAATTTCTTGAGAACTTTAAAGTTCTTAATTAGCTGATTTGTAATACTTTAAATTTACGCCGCGAAAGGTTTCTATAAATCGCGCGACTGATTTTCTTCTTGTTATAAGAGTTATTAGTGAGTCACGCGAAAAATCAAGTCACGCGAATAGTTGTTTGAAGTATCCTTTACGAAGTAATAATTTGCTTAACTTTTCCTTCTTTTTTACTTTTCAGGGGAAAAGGTCTTGCTTTTGACGCGTATTCAGTTTGTTTCATTCTGGTCGACTCACCAAAAACCAGTGAGTATAAATCAATAATCTAATAGCTTTGTTATTCATAGCAGACTGAAATCGTTAAGTAAACTGTTCACAGTAGATCTACTTTTTCAACGCAAATAAAGAATCTGGGAGAATTTGAAACCGTAATCACTAACTACTTTTAACTCGTGTAATTAAAGAATATTCAAAACCAGTTATAGTTAATGACACTGGTGTGACTGAAACGAGATTGGCAAGCTGTTTTGAAATCCCCTATTCTTTAACTCATTAGTGCTTCCAAAGACTCCCGAAAGGTAAATTAATTTCTCCAGTCACTNCTCTTTAACTTGAAAATGACCGTCGAACAGTGAGAAAACTATTCAAAACCAGTTATAGTTAATGACACTGGTGTGACTGAAACGAGATTGGCAAGCTGTTTTGAAATCCCCTATTCTTTAACTCATTAGTGCTTCCAAAGACTCCCGAAAGGTAAATTAATTTCTCCAGTCACTGAATAACTGTGAATTGCGGTTTTTCATCTCGCATCCCGTCCCTCATTTTCAAAGTTATCCCGCACTTCCTGATTGAAATGAGCACAGGCATGACAGACTAAGATATTTTTATCCCAAATCCCGCATTGCACATCCCGCCTGGATTGTCAGCCTATCTCGCCTTCCACCAATCATATGTTTCACACCCCAGAAACTTTGAAATACATTTTCCATGCTTGACGTATTAGAATAATTATAATCAGTGTTTCTTTGAAATATCGAGAGCACCTCAAGCGATTTCATTGTTTTACTTTCCAAAGCAAGTTCCGCCGTGATAAGTACAGCTCTAGCTAACTTTGTGTCGTCTGGTTTCTATTTTAAACAGTTGTAGTAATAATACACAGCTTTATTATGATACTGAGCCACGACATTAAGACAATCACATAGTGATGATTAACTGCAAGCTCCATCGTTTGCTCTTACATAGCAAAGCTTTCGGCCCTGTCAGATCTGTCTGTTTCCATGGGGAAAGGAGAGTTTGAAATCGATTAAATCGTACAAAGTACATTATAAAGTGAAAACTGAAGAAAAGTTAATTCACGGTCTTCCATATTTTACAACAGATCGATGGCAAAAGTAGCTTTTATTAGTTGTCTTATTTCTCTTCAGAGCAAGTCAGTCTGTCTATGACAGGAACCGGCGTGGAATGTAAATTTTATTAATCGGCAAACACAGAGTTTGATAGTAAACTGGAGTGGCTTTGAGACCAAGAAGCTTCAATAGAGCAAACAAAGATGCCAAGATTTATGTTGGAAGCTCCACGACTATTAACAATCTTTCCACTGTGTATTAATTAGATAACCGAAACGTTTCTGTTGGTAAATCCATAAGACAGAACTGAGTTAATAGCTATTGTGTTTTATGCACAGCTAATCTAAACGGTGAACGAAAATATACAACAAAGGAACTTTGTCTAGGTTGATGACCATTTCGCTGATTATTAGCTATGGTCAAAGACCCAATATGCTCTAAAAGCTATTGGACTTTACCGTAAGTGTTTAGCAAGGAATGGGAATAGAGAAAATGCAACTTATTTTCGAATGTTTTTATTCGATTGTTTTGCTCAAAGCTTGAAACTTATTTTAATTTTAATTTGTGTCGACTTACCATCGGACCTCCTATTGTCTTGCAGGCAAACTGCTTCAGTGTATTTTAGTCTCTACCCCTTGTGGTTTCACTTTCATCAGAAAACTGAACACGGTAAGTTTATAAACTATAAGCAGTTTGTTTAACGGTTTGCACAACATTTAAAACTTATTTCAATATTTAATTTGTTTTGACTTACTATTGGACCTCGTATTGTCTTGCAGGGAAACTCCGTCAATGTTGTTTCAGTTTCCGTCACTTTTAGTTTCATTTTCATCAGAAGACTGAGAAACTGAACACGGTAAGTTTATAAAATGTAAGCTGTCTGTGACTGATAGCGTCGGGTACACATATAACAAGTATAGCTGATTTCTAACACTTTAAATTTACACTGAGAGACGTTTGTATGAATTGCGTGACTGCTTTTCTTTTTGTTTTTAAAGCAGCTATTAGTGAGTCACGCGAAAACTTAAGTCACGTGACTAATTGTTTGGAAGCATCCTTTATGCGGTAATAATTTGCTTACTTTTTCCTTCTCTTCTACCTTTCAAAGGAAAAGGTCCTGTCGCTGGCGCCTATCCATTTTGTTTCCATTCTGGTCGACTCATCAAACCCTGTGAGTTTACATCAGTATTTTAATAGTTTTGTTTATTCATAGTAGAGTGAACTCATTAAGTAAACTGTTCACAGTCGCTCTACTTTATGAACGTAAAGGAACATCCTGCGTGAATTTGTCACCGTAACGTCGACTGAAATGACCAACTACTTTGAACTCTCACGTCATGTAGTTAAAAGATTAATCAAAACCACTCTTAGTTATATTAATGACGCGGATGTGAATGATTGACTGAAACTAAATTGGCAAGCTATTTTTAGGACTCCTCTTTAATTCATCAGTGTTTCCTAACAATCCTGAACATAAAGTAAATTATTTTCTTAATTCACTGAGTAACCGTGTTTCAGTTGTTGTTCATCTCACATCCCGTCCCTTGATATCAAATTTATCCCGCACTTCCTGGTTGAAATGAGCATATGCTGCTCAGGCCAAGATATCTTTATCCCAAAACCCGCATCCCGCATTCCACATCCCGCTGGATTTTCAGCTCATCTCGCATCCTCCCAAGTTTATGTTTTGACACTCCAGAAACTTCGGAATACATCTTTCATGCATGACGTATTATGATAATCAGTGTTTCCTTAGGTAATTCTTATTTATGTCATTTTTAGGTGATTTTTATTTAGGGGGGCTCCACTGAAAACCGCCTTTGGCGATTTGGATTCCCTCACTAAATATTATTATTATTATTAATATTATTATTATTATTATTCCTTGAAATATCTAGAAACCCTCAAGCGGTTTTCGTAGTTTCACTTTCTAAAGCAAGTTCCGCTGTGATAAGTACAACTCTAGCTAACTTTGCATCGTCTGGTTCCTATCTTGACCAGTTAAAATAACATATAGCTCGGTTATGATAGCCACGACATTCAAGAACCACAAAATAAGGATTAATTGCAAAATCGTTTCCTGTAAGAAGGGGAAAGTTTTTGGTTCTGTAAACTGATATTATTACCATGAGAAGGCGCCAGAAGTAAATCAATGAAATCCTGCAAAGTATATTATGAAATGATCATTTGCATATAATAAAAGTGAAAAATTACAACAGAACGATGGCAAAAGCCGTGCTTATTGACTTGTCTTATTTGTCTTCAGACAGGTTAGTCAGTTTCTATGATAGGTGGTCGAGGAATGTAAATTCTATTCATTCAACGCATGGTTAGTGGAGGGGATAGTTTTGAAGCCCGACAAGCTTTCAAAGAGCAAACAAAGATGCCAAGATTTATATTGGAAGGTCCAGGACTCTAAATATTCTTTCGTTTCACCATCATACGCTATGCATAAGTCACATACCGAACCGTTTTAGTTGAGTTATATAGTCTATGAAATAGAAATAATTATCTATTGTGTTTTATGCATGTTTAAGGCCAAAATAAGAACAAAAACATACATGGAAGAACTTTTTTGGCCTTCATAATCATTTCAATCTATTAACTATGGTCAACAACGCAATGTCCTTTGAAAGGCATTTGACTATAGCGTCAGTATTTAACAAAAAAAATGGAGATAGCAAAAAATGTTACATACTTTAGAAGAAGCGATTTAATTCAATTGTTTAGCACAACGTTTGAGACTTTTTCAATCCTAATTTCCATTTGCTTTTGTTTTTCAGATTCTATCACTTTTGATTCAATTTCGTCCGAGGATCGAGAAACGGAACACGGTAACGTTATTAACTGTTAGCTGTTGGTGACTGATACCGTGTCGTTCACATATAAGATGTACATGTAAGCGATGTTTAATACTTCCAATTTACACTGGAAGAGATTTGCATTAATGAATATCCCGTAACTGTTTTTTGTTTTTTTGTTTTTTGTTTTAGTTTTTGGGCGCTATTCATATTTGGTTTAAATTATCTCACAAACTGTGAACAGTCGCTTTACTTTTTCAACGGAAAGAAAGAACCCTGGAGCATTTTGCGAATTCGATGATCGGAAAAAAAAGAGACCATTGATTAGTCCAATCATCACCATCATTTCAGCTGATCAGAGTAGAACAAAACTGGAAATAGTCACCAATCAGACATATGCTTTTGACGTGTACTGGATCAATTAACATATGAATGCAAGACTGTGCTCGGTTATGTTCAATGTATAGTTCTTTTACTAATCTGATTTAATCTCCTCAAACACTTCGAAGTAGATTCATGATTGTATCAGAGAAAACTAAGTTGACTTTGTGGCTGCCTTTGCTACTGATGATGTTTAAATTTTGATATTGGCCTTGATCTGGTTTTTATTGTTGGTTTGCGTTTGTTGGGTTATCTATTTACTAAAATAACAGTACTGTTTCTTCTTTGTCCCTTCTTTTGGAATGGGCGTTGTGTTACAATCTAATAAACCTTTTAGTTCCCTAAATTTAGTAAGCATCTTGTATGTATGGTTAGAGCGCTCATTCCCATCAGTCTGGTCTCAATTTAATTAAGATAGTAAACCAGGCTTCATATGTGATTAAGTTTCTTGTCTCGTCCTGGCTTAGGTAATGCGACTTTAAAACAAAGCTCTGACTGCCAAATTGAGCTCTAAACAGCAAAAATGAGAAGTTAGAGAAAAGATTTGTAAGCGGCCTTAACCTTAACGGTGACTCCTGAGAGAGGAAAAAAACGGAACAACAAAAAAATTAAACGCTTACAAACGGAAACGAACTCACTTCGGTCGGTATGAATAACTCTGACGTCATGAACTATCCGTACTTCATGACGCTTGTGTGCCCGAATAGATAGGGCGTGATTGGGAAGCCATTTAAAAACTCGCGTTCCGCGTTTTATCAGGGCTTCAAGATACAATAGCAGCATTCAGCTAACGCACTCGTCCTTTCATCATTAATTTTTCGCGTTTGGATCAGCACTATTTGTACAGACGAAATACTAGTCCAAAGCAGGGTTACCCCACCGTTGGATTCTCTAGTAACCACTTAGACACCTACCTCTACGATCGTGGACAAAAGTATTTGGGACACCTAAGTAATTTAACGAATTGTATGTGTTTTATTACTGAAGTTTGAAAAAAGCGTTGCTTCCCGCTTTTGAAAACGCGTTACTGTTCCCCCTTCCGACCAAATAAAATGTTGAAAATCAGAAGAAATTTCAGGCAGTAGTTTTCAACATTGTAT